TTTTGTTACAGAGTGTAATAAATAACAATATCATTTTCGGGACCCCTGCACAGGTAGTACGTAGCGTGAATACGATGTGTTCCTCGTCGCTCCCTCATTCCCCAAGTATCCTTCAAAGGTGCTTTCTCCACGTTCTTCCCAGATTTGAGCCATCGTGTCTTGGTCAGGGTTCAAGAAGTTCGAATGCAGCACCAGACGCAGCGACAAGCTTCTTTCCGCTCAAAGCGTACCACGTGATACTCTCTTTATGGGCGTCTTCTTCCCACTCGCCTCCAACATCATAGAAGCTGGCATCATGCTTTAAGTCCGCAAAGAACATCTGGAGCTTCTTGTCTACGCCTACGAGTTTGTTTGCCTCAATGAGAGCTTCCACTCGGACGTGATAAATACCTTTCAACGCTCCGAATCCCAAGCCCGTAATGCTCTTTTCCGTGTACTCGTGAGCCAATAGCAGCGAAAACAATTGGTCCTCAGGACCCATGCAGCAAAAAGCACTCGCCAGCTCTTTCGTCATCGACTTGTCCGGGTTCCCCTCCAGCGCGCGCATGTTTGACGGCAAACAGACTGAGTACACGAGTACCAGACGATAACCCTCGGTTACGGTCTCCAAAGCATGCTCAGCGTCAGCGTAGTGAACCGTATAGTGCGGAAGATATTCCGCTGTACCCTCCTTCTTGCCGAAATCGTGGCGATGTTTCAGTTCTCCATTTCTATAGACCACCAGGTTTCCTCCTTCATGCCAACTAGGCAGCTGTACCACCAACGTTGCCACCATTCCGTCCTCTTTCTCGGTGTCTTGATGTTTCTTAAAATGGCCTCCTTCTCCGTACACAAGCATCTTGTACAGTTTGCACTGCATGGGGACGCCCTTATACCCCAGACGACTAGCAACAGTCTCACTTAGCTTCTCTATTCCCGTGTGCCACAATGGATTATTGATTGTCACTTGATCGGGTGCGAGTTGTCAACTTTTGCGGACATTTTCGTCCGTCATGGTGTCCAATTTCCGTCCGAATGGGGATTTATCGCACTTGGCAATGAGTTTTTCCGCCTGTTCGTCGCATAATGGGAGTGCGATGCAGCCCACGCGATCGACGAAGAGTCCGGGGGCTACTGGGAGTGTGTTGACTGGGTCACTGAAGGAATACTCGCCTGCTGCAGCAGCAGCAGCCTCGTCATCTTCTTGGCCAATAGTGTTGCTGATCTGAGCGCAAACCGCTCCCGTAGGGACCGGAATGTCGTCAGGTTTAATGGAGATTGCACTTGATCCAAAGCACCCTTGCACACCAGAGAAGGAAATGGAAAGTGAATAGATTAGATTGTTAAGTTCTCTCGAGCTCCTACAACCAAGAACAGACTTCAAGCCTGTTTCCCATACAGAGACCCGTGGCTCTCAGCTTCTCAGAGTTTCTCTCCTGTTAGTCTCACCATTTGCACGTGTCCCGGGCCTGACTTCAACTGCATTGTCGCCACGTCTCTGATATGCAATTCGACACGCCTCCTTTAAGCGCACGCTGTGATCACCAGAATGCATTTCTAGTGGTCGACGCTTTCTTACTTGCCAACACCTACGAGTTGTAGTAGTGCTTTGAGCCTTTGCTTGTTCAAGGCCTTCGTAAACGCATCCGCCGAGTTCACGTCACCGTTAACCTTGTGCAACTGGATTGCTCCCTTTTGCACTTGTTCGCGTACGAAATGCTATCGAAACTCGATGTGACGAGTACGGCGACTATACGTTGGGTTGGTGGCCAACATGTGAGCAGCTTGGTTATCAATCCCAATCCTAAGCTCAACACTCAGATGTGGCAAGGTTTCTTGTAAAATGTTGCTTTCATCAACAGCTTCCTTGGACACCTCACATGCAGCAGCATATTCGGCCTCAGCCGTGGAAAGAGCCACAATCGATTGGCGTCGTGACATCCACGACACTGCACCGTGAACACAAACCCGGTTGTGCTCTTGCGGGACTCGGGGTCATTTGCCCAGTCGCTGTCACAATACCCCTTCAGGACAACATCCGTGGGCACGTCCTTGGCTCGCTCATACGTAATACCGTAGTCAATACTCCCTGCAAGATAGCGCAGCACACGCTTCAGCGTTCACACATGCTTAGCCGAAGGCTTTGCTACAAAACGACTGAGCTGCCCAACTGTAAACGCTAAATCTGGTCTTGTTCCGGAGCTAGGTACATCAGCATACCAATCGTTTGTCGGTACGCAAAACTTGTGTCCGATTCTTCGTTTTCATCGAGAGGAGTCAGTTTGACATTTGTCTCCATTGGATTCCCAACGGCGTGAACGTTGCTGTACCAAAACGTCTCCACAATCTCACGTGCATATTTGCTCTGCCGAATGGTGACATACCCGTCCGACTGATCCACCGCGATGCCTAAGTACTGTGAGAGAGGCCCTTGGTCTTTAATGCCATACGACTTGCCAAGCTCCTCAAACAACTTGCACCTACTGTTTTCGTATTCGTAGCGACCAGGATGTCGTCCACGTACACTACCACAAACATGATGACATCACCTTCGAACTTGTAGTAGAGGCGAGGTTCAGTCGGCGAGCGTAGATAGCCATTATCCAGCAGTCACCCGTTCAATATCGAGTTCCATTCTCGGCCGGACTGTCGCAATCCGTACAAGGCCTTCACGACCACGTACATGTGCCCATCTATCTCGCAAGGAAAGCCATCCACCTGAGATACTGGCGAATACCCAGCATGGCGTTGAGGTAAGCCGTATTGGTATCACCTCCATACAATTTCATGTGCAGCGCAGCGGAAAGTGCCACCATCAATCGAAACGATGACATTTGTGCAACCGGTGAAAACGTTTCAATAAAATCAGTCCCGGGACGTTAGTGGTTCCCAAATGCGACGGTTCGATCCTTGAAACGAATAACGTAGCTTTGGTGGTCCAACTTAACTGCATACACCCAGCCGGTATTGGTAGGCTGGGGTACTTCAGATCTCGGAATCTCCTTAATTACACCTTTGGCCTTCAACGCATCCATTACTTCAGGTCCAGCTTCTCGCCAGAAGTCACGGACGTCGATCGCATTGCTTCCCTGTGGTTCTTAGGGATCTTCACATTACTTGCTCGAATAGGTGCACCATTCTTATCTAGGATACGTGACGAACTCTGCACAACATTCGCGACATAATCGTTCAGATATCTCGGGCGTCGGCGTTCGTGCACCTCACGCAATCCGGTCCGAGTTCGTTTTGACTCTTGCTTTGCAGCTTCACGTTCCACTCGCTCTTTTTCCGATCGAATTTCGTATCGCTGTGTCCGCTTCCCAGTTTGTGGAGGAGGCAACAACGCACTTGCGTCAATCTTCTTATGCTCGATCTGCACTTCTTCGGCACTATCCTCCTCATTGTTTACACTCATAGAGCCACAGATGCTAGCCACAGTCACATCTTGATCAGCCTCAGCAAGTTCGTCATCTCCACCACGTTCAATTTCATCAGAAACTTCGGATCGTGCAACAGACCCTCACACACCAGTAACTGATTCAATGTCATCCTGCACGCTTGTGCTGCTCTGACATGGCTTTGATGAAGTGGCACTTTCACTTTGCTGAGAATGAGCTTCTTGACTGCCATTTTCCGCCAAGATTTCGTGTGAATGCCGATCTTCCTCTTGTGCATTCAACTCCACATTTACCGAGGTATTTGATTCTGGTTGCAGATCGTTACCATTGCTTAGGAGCGCTATAGTAATCCCTTTCACGTCTGTCGCAACTCCAGCACTTGCCACGCTTGCCATGGTCATGTTGACTTCACTTGGCAGTATCTCTACCCGAGCCTGACCAAGTTCCGGTTCGTCAGCATCATCATTCACGCCTTCCTCGAGACTGCGGAATTCAAAATTCACTGTCTCGGCTTTGCTTGATGCTGCTGCGCTGCTCATTAGTTGCTCATAGTCAACGAGGCTGGTGACAGTGTGCTTTTGACTAGTCATCACTTCGTCGGACGTCTCAGAATCTTCAACTTGCTCAAAGTGCAACGATTCCAAATCTGTGTCAGTCAGCTCAACCTCATGGAGATTTCTGTACATTACATCCTCTGCAACGCGTAAGTCCGAGACAAACTTAGCGGTGCGATCCTGAGGAAAATACACTTTGCATCCGATGACATCTTCAGCGTAGCCGAGGACAAATCCAATCTTCGCATTGTCGTGGTTCTTACGACGTCCTGGAGTGATCGGCACGTGTACGTAAGCCAAAGAACCAAACTTGCAGATGTGACGGATGTCTGGTTTGACGCCAACCATCATTTCAAACGGGATTCCTTGAGAACCCTTATTGTAGACCCGATTCTTGATGTAGGCAGCGTTCGTCAACGCTTCTGGCCACAACGATTTCGGAAAGCCAGCGTCGTGCATGGTCGCCTTGGTCATCTCCACTAATGACTGGTACGTTCTCTCACACAGGTTCAGTTGAGTGCTTTTCGGACCAACCACAACATGCTCAATGCCTTGAGCTCGATACCATTTATCCGTGGCATCATCGACGAACTCGCCTCCTTTGTCTGTCAAGACCTGCTGAACTCGGTACACACGAGTAATTACCTTTTGAACTTTGGCCTTGCCACCATTAGCCGAGTTTCTGCCAGCTTGTCTCTCAACCCACAGAATATACTCCTTCATGTGCTGATTTACAACTTCACTCCGCTTGCTGGTCAGCATGTGCACAGTCACAAAGCGTGAAAACCCATCCATTATCACGAGAACTGCTTCAAACCGAGTTCCGTTTCCTTTACTGGGTATCAGCAGGTCGGTGTACACGACTTGGTTTGGAGACTTCAGTCCTCTGTCTAACTTTTTACGAAGCCTTTTCTTCTTTTGCTTGCCAATATGGCACGCATCGCAGGTTTCATGCTTCTGGCGCTGCGTCAACATCATGCCCTTCACCACGTCTTTATCGGTCATTGCCTTCAAGTACTGAGGACAGATATGCCCGAGACGCTCATGCCAGATCTTCATCAAAGCGACTCCTTCAACGGCACTGAAATTTGCCCGAGGTACATTTTGTGGACTCATTCTCGCAAACCCGGTAGATGGATGTGTCACGTAGAAGCCCCAGGTCGCTTCATGAGGTGTGGCCACAATCACAGGTATTTCGTCCTCAATCACCAAGAAACTTTGCGCGCGACGATCATATGTAAACTCAAACCCTTGTTCTGCGGCAAGTCCCGGTGATAGTAGTCCATACTCAGCCCCAGGAGCTCCAGGAGGCGAGGGTGCCGGCTATATCATCATGTTTCCTCGTAGGTTGCCCAGTGTCATTAGCTCCAGCACCACTTGAAGACTTCGTCTTCTCCGGACAACGAACTTTGAGATGCTCCGGGGGCTACTGGGAGTGTGTTGACTGGGTCACTGAAGGAATACTCGCCTGCTGCTGGAGCAGCAGCCTCGTCATCTTCTGGGCCAATAGTGTTGCTGATCTGAGCGCAAACCGCTCCCGTAGGGACCGGAATGTCGTCAGGTTTAATGGAGATTGCACTTGATCCAAAGCACCCTTGCACACCAGAGAAGGAAATGGAAAGTGAATAGATTAGATTGTTAAGTTCTCTCGAGCTCCTACAACCAAGAACAGACTTCAAGCCTGTTTCCCATACAGAGACCCGTGGCTCTCAGCTTCTCAGAGTTTCTCTCCTGTTAGTCTCACCATTTGCACGGGTCCCGGGCCTGACTTCAACTGCATTGTCGCCACGTCTCTGATATGCAATCCAACATGGTTTGCCACTCACACCGAACGGTCACTCGCCAGACTTGAAGATTCCGGCCTCTATGGGCTCTGATGCGTCGTAGTTGCCGTACTCTTCCTCATCGTCGAACCAGATCATTATCAATCGAGGAGTGTGCATGCAGTTATGGCAGGAAGACACATAGATGTGTTTCTAACGTTTTATATTTTAAATGAAAACTTAAGAAATATAGATACCTTACCATTAATAGGTACTTCTAAGTTAAACAAATATCTCTATTCTCTAATAGCATTCTCATACCGACATTATATCTTGATTTCGGAATACGGGGAGATAGCCTTAATTTCAAGATCAATGGCATGGATTTTTGAGTAAAACGTACTTTGTATAGAAAAAAGTGCGCATTGGTTTCGGCCCACTTTTGATCTTTTTTTTATTATGGTGGGCCATAAGCTATGAGCAGTCAAGGTAAGAGCTTTTTTTCAGGAAAAGTGCTTTAGCCAAGCGCGAGGCATTCTGCAACAATTGCAGTGTCATGTACGACTACGACGCGTACAGCGAGCCTGGGGAGGGCGACGCCTTCAAGGCCGGCACTTGGCCATTTGGTCTGAGTGGCCAGCCCAGGGACATCCCCGTCCCAAAAGGAGCTGTTTGCGCGCAGATCAGCAATATCTTAGGTGACAACAAGAACGACGACAGCAATGAATTCACTGCTAGAAAATATCAGAAACAAGATGAAGACGGCGAAGAAGATTACGATGATGATGATGAAGAAGAACGTGGAGCTGAAGAGGAAAGGATAGTGACGAAGACAACGCCGCGAGCATAATCACTATCATCTGTGGCGGGGGAGTATTCCTTCGGAGGACAAGCCGATACACTCCCAGTAGCCCCCGGACTCTTCGTCGATCGCGTGGGCTGCATCGCACTCCCATTATGCGACGAACAGGCGGAAAAACTCATTGCCAAGTGCGATAAATCCTTATTCGGACGGAAATTGGACACCATGACGGACGAAAATGTCCGCAAAAGTTGGCAACTCGCACCGGATCAAGTGGCAATCAATAACCCATTGTGGCACACGGGAATAGAGAAGCTAAGTGAGACTGTTGCTAGTCGTCTGGGGTATAAGGGCGTCCCCATGCAGTGCAAACTGTACAAGATGCTTGTGTACGGAGAAGGAGGCCACTTTGTGAAGCATCAAGACACCGAGAAAGAGGACGGAATGGTGGCAACGTTGGTGGTGCAGCTGCCTAGTTTGCATGAAGGACGAAAACAGTGTTCGAGTTAAACCTGCTGAATCCAGACCAAGAATCACTGGCGCAAATGTGGGAAGAATACGGCGAGAATGAAACAGAAGGGTATCTTGGAAACGAGGGAGCTTCGAGTAACACGACGTATTCTCGCTATGCGATCGTCGCCTGGCCGGTGGCAAACGGTGTGGAGAATACGTTGCAATTCATCAGCGCAACCGCTGCTATTGAGGTTCTGCAACATCAAAAATCTGTTGCTCCTGACACTCTTCGCGTGTTTGTCAATGCGGTGGGTGACAAACTGGTGGAAACCCAAGCATCATTCGACCGTTCGCGAACATACTCGTACACTGAGCCGAAAAAGGTTTCCGTCTCTGCGTTGTTTTCACAAACCATAAGTAAACTTTTGGTCGACACGGGTGACGTGTGGCTAGCAACCCTGTTTTCACCAAGATCTGCAGTAATGTGAAGGAAAAGGCGAATCTCGTGCCTGCCTACGTTGCGTTAGCACGAAAGTTTGACTGGAGTAGCATTGGTCAGGCTCTGCTGAGCTCATTGGGCAGTAAGACAGGAAACAGCAGCTACAGTTTTGATGCTTTTGGAGGAACGAGTGATTCCAGTATGGTGCTAGCGCTGCAAATATTCGATGGACTGGACGACGGGCTTGCTAAAGAAGCACTGCTAAAAGCAGCTGTGAGTGATGCTGTGACGCTTAGGAACGATTGCTTGTGCGCATCGAAGGCTCTCGGATCACTTTGGGTTTCCACGATACGTAATGGCAACAAGAGTGTTGTCGATGTTTTGGCCAAGAGGCTCAAGCAAATGGATCCGTCATTACTTGGTCCGGTTATCGACGTATTTTTGCAAGAGTTGAGTGACGTTAACTCATCGGATGACATGTTTGCGGTATTGGCATCGATTGCAACAATGCGTATTGAATGGCTAAAGAGTCAAATTCAAGCAAAGGATAAACCTTTCAGTTGGGAAATGCCACACGCAATATTTCCTGATCCGCAGATCCAGGTATTTCTACGAGGTCCGGAGATGTCCAAGACTACGGTTGGGGTCCGGACTTTCGGTGGTCTCCCGGCAGCTCGGAAGTTCGCTGAGAGGACCCCGCAGACTCACGCTTCCTTCTCGATGGTTCCTGCCGGCAGAGGACAAGAAGCATTCGCCACCATCACGAAAACACGGACATGGTTTAATAAGCAGCAAAACGACGTGGTGACTCATAAATCGGAGCTTCAGTGCCTGATAGACCGCTTTGGTCAAGCCACTGCTGAGGAGGGACCAGCCCCTAAACGTGCTCGGATCGAGGTGTGGGAACATCGCGGCTGAAAGACCAACATTCGAGCTAGAAATTAGTTACAGGAGATCCATGTTGACGCCTTATGTCAAAAGATCCTCCATCCCAATGCGAGCTCGCTTTCTAGGATTTCCAGTCGCTTCTCCTCCGTATCATCGCGACAGGCGATTCAGTTCCTCTTTATACTCTACCAGTTTCTTTTGGTGCTCTCCAAACCACGTCCACGTCTTGGTGATGAAGACCGTCTTCATCAGCGTGTATACGTCTTCATTGAAGACGTATACATGCTGGGCTCTGCCCTCAGTTTCCAGCGTGAACGACGCGTTCACTTGCTGCTCGCACATCCATTTGGCCGCGTAGTTCCTCGCGTGACCATTTCCATTAAAATGGTGCACTCCAATTGTATTCATCGACACGTACGGGCCACGTAGGAACGCTTGAACGTCAGCATTGTCGGGGAAATTGGCGTCGGGCATTTCCCACGAGAAAGGCTGGCTCTGTGCTTGGATCTGGTTATTTAATCACTCGATCCTCTTCGCAGCGATAGACTTTAGTACTGCGAACTTGTAGTCCGTGACATTGATTGCACTGATATGCTGCGAGAACGCCCTAATTACTGGTTGTAGCAGCCTTGGGCTGGATTTGCATGAATTTGGTCGCCAAAGCATCGAAGATGGCTCGATCCTCGCATCGAACTCCCCATGTCCAAAGCAGATCAAGGGTGCTGGATGCACTCAAAACCTCGTCGCACAGTCTGACAGCTTTCTCGACTGCTGCATTGAGTAGTGCTAACTGAGCAATACCTGTATTAAGACCATCCGCGATCTGCAACACCACTTTGATACCGGAAGTAGAATCGTTGGTCTCACGCATACTTTACATATGCATGCCCATGTCCATACTCATAGGATCCACTGTGTCACCCAAGGATTCCAGAATCTCGGAGCCAATACCGCTCCAGTCGAAACGACGAGCTAGTGCACCAAAGCCAGAAGCAAGTCCATCCTTATTTTCATAAGAATCCATGCCTCTTACGAAGTTGTAGAAGAACATTTTCACGAGTCTAGCATCGACCAAGAGATCGCACATTGATCGGCAAAATCCAACCGACGCAGTCTGTGGTTCAGTCCATGAATGTAGTGACGGCCGGTTCTCCGCAAACTTTGAAGCAACCGCTTCCATAAACGTCCTCAGAGTGCTAGCATCTACAGGTCTCTGAGCTTGAAGAGTGCCAACTGCTGCATTGGCGTCAATAAACGTGAACGAATTCTCGACGTCACGTGCTGCTGGCCACGCAACAAGAGCATACCGAGCGTACGTAGTGCTTCTCGTCGCTCCCGAATTGCCGAGATATCCTTCAACGTGCTGTTCCCGTGGTTCGCCCATAACGCTGCAAAAGTTTCCTGTCCGGGATTCAAAAAGTTGAGCTTCACTCCCGTTTTTGAGGAGTGACCGTGACAAGTTCCACCTGAGGAATACCAGCTAATCCAGTCGTTACGGTGACTTCCTTTCCAATTGCCAACACTATCACTATCGTCATAGCAGCTGACGTCGTGTTTGAGTTGTGCAATAACGAGTTGCAGTCTCGTGCCACAGCCACCATTTCGTCTTCTTTTTCGGTATCTTGGATGTTTCACAAAGTGGCCTCCTTCCCATAGACTAGCAACTTATACAGCTTACACTGCATCGGAAAGTCTTTATATCCAAGTCGAACAGCAATAATGTCTGTCAATTGGTTCTGTCAATGGGTTCTTCACAGTCACGCTTGCCAGCTTTTACGGACGTTTTCGTCCATCATGGTGGTTAATTTCCTCCCGAACGAAGATTTTTCGCACTTGGCAATGAGTTTCGCTGCATGTTCCTGTGTCAGGGGACTGGAATCAGTACCACACCATTGACGTAAAGTCCGGGAACTGCAGGTAAAATGGTGGCTTGACCTCCAAAGGAGTGTCCTTCTGAGCAGCGTACAAAAACTTTTTTCTAGCATGAAGATGTGGAAGTTGTTGCAAAATGGCAAACATAAATTTTTACAATGGATTCATGACTGAGACTCTACTGCAAGATGTAATGGACCAACTGCTTAGTAGCTGTCGGCCTTGAAGTGATCGGCCGTCATGACCTTGTTCCAGGCCTTGGAGAACGTCTGCTTGAATGCAAACTCGTTGGAGGCGAACTTTTCCACCGACGCCTTGAGCTCAGGCGCTTCGAGCAGGGCCAGGTCCGTGTCGAGCATGTAGATGTCCTTGTCGCCAGCCTTGAACTCCTTCTTGGACACTGCCGTCCACGTCTCGTTCAGCAGCACCTTGAAGTATTCGTTGGAGAGCGTAGCCGAGCTGTTGCTGTACGAGCCGCTGAAGCCCAGGGCCTTCTGCTGCGCAGCACTACGCGGGCGAGCGGCAAGAGCCACCGCCTCCTCCGGCGACACACCCAGGATCTTAATGTTGTCACGCACAGCGGTCACCGACGAGTTGTAGTACTCACGAGGGGCCAGAATGTCGTCACCGTCGCCGTTCTGAGCGTCTGTGCGGCCGCCGAGGAAGTCAATCTTCACCTTTCCAGCGTCCTCGAGGGCCACCTGGCCAGCCAGCACGATAAGGTCGGCGGTCGACAGCGTCGAGTACTTCTCCTTAATGGGCTCAAGCGCAGCGATGATCTTGTCAACGCCAGCGTTCACAGGCCAGTCCTTCTGCGGCGCGAAGCGGATCTTGGCGCCGTTGCAGCCGCCGGCGTAGTCCGTGATACGGAATGTCGACGCGCACTGCCACGCGGCGTGAACGAACAGGGCGCCGTTGTACGCCTTGCCATCGCTGGTCGCGTCGCTCGGGAGACCGTCCACCGACTTGGTGAGCAGCTCCTTGATGTCCTTGCGCACAGCGTCGAAGTCCGGCAGGTTCTCGGGCGTCGGGGGCAGCGGGTTCTGGAACGGCTGGACAGGGGGGATGTCGTTACCGCGGCAACGAGCAACCGGGCCCATGTCGCGCGACATGAGCTTGTACCAGGCGTGCGAGAACGCCTCGTCCAGAGCAGCCTGGTCCGCAGCGAACTCCTTCGAGATCTTGAGGTAGCTCTCGTCGTGCAGCAGCGCGATATCGGCCGTCAGCATGCGGACGGGAGGGTTCGTGTCGGGCACCGGGCGCCACTGCACGTGACCACCGGGACCGTCGAACTTCTCCCATTCGAAGCTAGTGAGACCCTTGAAGTAGCCGTTGCCCCACTTGGTGGGCGTGAATGTCCACTGACCCTCGAAGCCACTGGTGAAGGTGTTGTTGCCCTTGCCCTTCATCTCGCCTTCGCCACAGGTGCCGGGCCACGGGTTCTCGGGGTCCTCCAACGGAGAGGGACCAGGACCCGTCGGGCAAGCACCGTGAGTCTTACCGAAAGCGTGACCGCCACCGATCAGAGCCACCGTCTCGCGGTCGTCCATACCCATGCGCTTGAAAGTGTCACGCACATCGGCCACCGACCCAACAGGGTCAGGCTTGCCCATAGGACCCTCGGGGTTCACGTAGATAAGACCCATGGTGGTCGGGCCAAGAGGCTCCTTGCACTGGCCGTCAACCTCGCAAGGGGCCACGGCCTCCTGCTCGGCCGACGGGCCCAGCTGCAGGCTGCTCGTGCCGTCGGCGTCGTCACGACGACCACCGCAGAAACCTAGCACGGGTCCACCCATGCTCTTAATGGCAACGTCACCCGACAGCACGATGAGATCACCCCACGACAGTGCGTCGCCGTACTTCTCCTTGATGGGGTTCAGCAGCTTCAGAGCCTTGTCCAGGTTGGTGTTGTCGGCCCAGCTGTGCTCCGGGTTGAAGCGGATACGGCCACCGTCACAGCCACCACGGCCGTCCGCACGGCGGTACGAGCCGTTGCAGTGCCAAGCCAGACGGATGAAGAGACCACCGTAGTGACCGAAGTCGGCGGGCCAGAAGGCCTGCGAGTCCGTCATCAGCTTCTCCAGGTCCGCCTTCACAAGATCATAGTTGATCACTTCGCAGCTCTTGGGGTCGTACAGCTCGCTGGAGATCTGACGGTCCTGCTCCTTGACAGACGCGACCTTGTCGAAGCCGAACGGACAGCTTCCAGATCGGCCAGCGTCAATACCGGCGGAAAGACTGGCAAGGGCAGCAACGAAGGCGGCGAGACGGACGTTCATCTTTAATATTGGTGTGCCTTGTGACCGCCAAGTAAATCGAATTGTGAGAGAGCTGTGGACAGCCCACTCGCGTAGTTTTAGTAGCCTAGCCGCTTCTGAGACGTTTACCGTCAAAGCTTTTGGCTGTTCGCAATGTAAAACAGGTGCATTGTTGTGCGGTTGAGTTGATGAGTCATTTTTCTAGTTACGGAACTCTATGGTCGTTGAACCATCGGTTTAACAAGAACCATGCGCCAAAGGGGTCCAGGATCACGTTCAAGATTTGGCTTGGACCGACGGAACGGCGTTCCGCTCCAGGAAGTTCCCGCGAATGTGTGAGCTTCGTGATGAAGATGTTCTCTCGCTTTGCTTCCTGTTGGACAAGAGGAAAATGTACCCTGTATCCAAGTTTGTGGAGTGACTTGTACTAAGTAAATTCTTACTCGCTGTTGTACCTTGAAGTGCACGGTTAATCTCCATTACAATCAAGAGCCCCCCCCCCCCCCCCTTAACAACTCGCATTTGCGACGACAACGGAGCTGTTCTCTGTGACAGCAATCGAAGCGACCGTCCTTGCAGACGATATCTACATTCGCAAGCGAGAGGCCCTTGAGGGACTATCCAGACTATATGACCCGGTGTTGATTCTAATGTATGTGTAGAAGCAAGGTGTCATTACAATAGGTCGGACACGGTTACATGGTGCCGTATTCTGAATCCAACTTTCGGATGCGTTTTACATAAACTGTGTATTGCAGAGTGAACACCAGTTCCAGTGGTCGACTACAGAGCCACAAACAAGAGCCTTGCACTCATCAGCTGTTATTAAAAACTCTACCCCCTTATTTGTATCTCCATTCACAGCTCAATCCGAAGTGTCGAATTTTCACTAAAAATCATACGAATGTGACCTTCGGACCGGCCGTAATCTGAAGAACAAATGCCCACGTGTTTGGAGCACTTGACGGGGTTTAGTGGTGTGTCCACTCGTGCAGACAGTGATAAGTAATCTAGAAAATCAATTTATGGCTTTGAAGACGAGATCAACCGTATGTAGCCTCCTGCGTGGCAAGTACATCATGTGCCGCACATGTGCGCATTATTAAATGGTATATTCTAGTACTTTTATATATACTAAGTAAAAAAAAACTTTACAATCTACTACAATCCTCATTAACCTCTCACTTTAGTCTTGTTTGTATGCAATGGGGTATTCTTCTCGTTGACTTCTAGCCAAAATGCTATCGATTGCTGCTCATGCATTTACAGGTCTCAAAGGGTTAAAACAGCCTGTTCTGTTGGAATATTGTTCGTGTTGTTGACGCCGTCAAATTGACGGGATGCAGTACTCACGCAAGCGCCTGTGAGCAATGCGACACTCAAAATCTTGCGCGAGTCTGCTTTGAAATACATGCAGCTTGACTTTTGATGGCGAAGCATATCGCCGATTATAATGCATGTAGCTCCGTCCTCAAGTTATTGAGGCTGACATTGCATTCATGGCAACATGCTAGCGTTAGTAAACGCAAATTCCACCTATTATTCGCTCTAATCAAAATGTCCGGTTTGCCCAAACCAGCTAAAAACTACGGTTGATTGTTGAGTCGTTTAAGTACGAGGAGATACACTCGTTGAGCCGTTCCGAAATAACAGGGAATTTGTATCCGTGTGACTCGTAAAGTGGTACATTTGGCTGGAGCTCCCAGTGTATCCTAATACTTGTTAAAATAAAGATTGTGTCACATAATACCGAGGTTAGAGAAAGCTCGGTAGTTCGTGTCAAAATGGAGAACGTCTACACTCTACTCTCGTGCCTGTCCTTCAGCTTGTGTTTACTCACGACTATAGAAGACGTCCCGTAAACCAGAAACGTACAGTCATTTGTACACCCATAATTTTTCTTCCGTACTCTCATCAGTCCGAAAGCGTACCGTAACCTTAGGTATGCAGTAGTTGCGACACAGATTGTAGGTAAAAACCACTGGATCACTAAAAGAAAGCTCCCCAGCGAAGTCGCCAGGATGAGCCGATCTAAGTGTACGCAATCACGACATCCCTGTATAATAGTGCTGCACTATTAGTAAATCCGGCACAGGGTGTTCCACTATATTCTTCTTCATCAACGGTGTCATCTCAACTCCCAAATACTAACGGCGAAAGTCGCGACGAGACTGACAGTTCCTTGGTCAGCTCGATATATCATGTCGCCTTAATTTTATAGTCTACTTCACTTCTCGAGGTGAGCCTGCTTCTTTCCGCTGCTGCCAATCTTTCTAGAATACAGATATTGGAAAACACTGAAGCTCGACAATATCCTTTCAAAACTTGGTACAGCCTCATTTGAGTGCTTGTTCGGCCTTCCACCTCCATCAAGACGATACGACTCTGTACGGTGTGCTTACAAATTGGAGCAGGTGTATCCATGTTAAGACCTTCACTCATAACAAAAACATATGGTTTTTGTTGAAGTGTTTGCTGCCGTGTTTCGAGCGAGTGGTGGTTTAATTAATAAATCCCTTGAATTAGCGAGCGAGCGTTGCCAAATGGTCTGAATTAATTAACTACTACCAGTCCTACACTCGCCCCACCGACGCGCTAATCCGTTCCTGCTTCCGTCTGTAAGCGTCCACACCGCCCTCTAGTTGATGGACAGACACGATCCCCTTGGACTTTCGGACCTCGAATACGCGTGCTGGAAGTGAAGGGTGCGATTCATCCTTGTCGCCATCGCTATCACTTTCGTTGAGGCGTTTGCCGCCTTGTTCTCGCGTTAGGATGTTGAGGAAATGGATATCGTGCGAAATCAACACAACCGCTCCTTGGTACTTGCGCAGGGCCTCACCAAACACCTGAATAGTGGTCATGTCGAGATGATTCGTTGGCTCATCCAGTAGCAGCACATGGGGTGGATTCGGGAACGTTACCCAGGCTAGACCAACGCGAACAAGTTGGCCACCAGACAACCCTCCCAGCGGCACGGACACAGCAGTCTCACCACTGATGCCAAACTTGTTTAAGTGCGCACGCACCTTGGTTTCAAGTGACGTGGTGCCTCGATTGGAATTTCCATTGTTTGCGAGCAACACCTCGGGCGAGTTTTCTTTCTTACTGATCGACTTCATTAGCAGCTCCAACGCGTTGAGATTGCGAGACTCCAGTCGCTTCAAGTCTTCCACGTGATGCTGCATGAGAGTCCCCACACGTGCTCCATGGAAATACTGCACCTTACCAGCATCCGGTTTGATAACTCGATTGAGAATCTTCATCAGTGTTGTCTTACCCGCTCCGTTTCGACCGACAAAGACCACCTTTTCACCATACGCCACATTTAACGTTACATTTTTGATAGCGAGAGGAGGTGAGGTGGAGTTTTCTCTTTGGTTGGGTATCTCTGCCGCCGCTTTGTAACTAAACGATACGTTCTCCAGAGAAAGCATAGTGGTTTGTGCGAGCTTTGTGAGGTTCCGAATCTGCGGGGGTGGCGTCGTCAACGCTTCCCAGGCCTTGCTGTTGTACGAAGTTTCGTAAAGTGCAGTGTCTTCTGCACCGTCAAGCAATGTAAAATGGAAGCCTTGCCGGTCGCGGCTCCGTTTAAAGCGGTGGCCCTTGTCGTTGCGCTCGTTTCCAATCCGCTCCATCTTTTTCTTCTTCGCAGCCACAACTTGCTTTTTCTTGTCGTCCTTGCCCTTAGACGCCTGCTGGGTGATACGCGCAACCATCTTGGTCATTTTCTCGGTCTTTCGGTCAAGCTTGTGCTGCAGTCTCTCGTTGAACAACTTCTTCGTATCCATGGCTTCTTCGTAGGAGTCGTAGTTACCATCAAAATACACGAGCTTTTTGTCTTGCCCGCGCACTAGGATCGTTTCTTCAGCGACCTCATTCAGGAAGAATCTATCGTGGGATACCAGTACGATCGTCAACGT